TTTTAATTGTTGGTGGGGTTTAAGGTGGTTGAGGCTGATGGGCCAAATGGTAATTTGAGTTTGTAAGGGCGTGCTTGTTTATTAATTATAATCAGTTCAAAATGAGTTTTTTTTATTAACCAGAGTTAATTTTGAGAAATGTAATATGATTATTTGTTGAGTATCTGCAATGCAGTGGGTCTAATTTTGTCCATGTAGCATGTCAATAAACTCAAGGCTTAAATAACATGAATAAAACTCAGTTTTGCTATGAAGTCAACAGTTGGCTCTATAGTGGAGCCAACTTTCTATATACAACAAATAAACATATCATATTAATAAAATTATATTAGTGTTATTTAAGTAATCAGTGAATATGGTAAGTTTACTAGTTGTATATAGAAAGTTGACTCCACTATGGAGCCAACTGTTAGCTTCATAGCAAAACTGGTATAAAACTATATAGAATTAACAAAAGTCACTCCAATACAAGAGACTTAGCCTCTCCTTAGGTCTAAAATGATTTAAGGGTAGACCGGGTCTCTTTTGTTTGTTGCCATATCAGTAGGTTTTATATAGGAGCATGAGGGCATAAAAAGTTTTTTCGTCCCGTAACTGGAGCCCTTTTTCATTGGTCCCGTAAGTGGACTGTTTTTTTGAAATAGTCTCCCAAGTAAAAAAAAAATCCGTTTTTTTATCCTTTGACCGCCTATAGCTGGTCAGATTTACCGGCTGCCTACGTGGAAATTTTACCTTTTTTTTTTCGATGAGTTGTAATGCTACGTAGCGCTTATGTGACATAGTTGCAAAAATATATGCTAAGGAGGGAATTCGAATCAATGTCCAATGGGGCATTAAAAGAGCCCATGACACACATTTTGTTAAGTATTTAATTACAATTATATATCTACCAATATCGTTTATCTAATATATATTGTTCAATTTGCATTACTTTTAAATTATAATAATTTTTTATATATTAAATAAATAGTATTTAATTATTTTCTAAAAAAAATATTTAACGTATTTAATTAATTTTTATTTTAATATTAATTAATACTTACCAAAGAAATAAATATAATAAATAAATAATAATATTTACCAAATAAATAAATATATGAAATAATATAATAAATAATATTACTTACCAAAAAAATAAATACATTAAATAATAATAGATAATAATATATTTATATTATTTAATATATGTACTTATTTGGTAAAAATTATACATTATATTTATTTATTGGATAAAAATAAATATAATGTATAATATTTACCAAATAAATAAATAAACTAAATAGTATAATAAATAAATAATTATTTACTAAATAAATACGTAAATTAAATAATATAATAAATAAATATATTAATAAATATAATAAATAATATGATTAAATTTTATTTCTATATTAAAAATTATTTACTAAATAATAAAATATACTAAATAATATAATAAATAATATATTGAATAATATAATTATTTTTATTTGTGTATTAAATAAATATTGATCAAATAAATAAATATATTAAATAATATAAGAAATAAAAATATATTTACTAAATAAATACATCTATCAAATAACATAATAAATAAATGTATTAAATAATAAAATAAATAAATATACTAAATAATAAATAAGTAATAATATTCACCCAAAAAAATATATTAAACAATATAATAAATGAATAAATAATTTGTAAAATACATATATCAAATAACCTAATGAATAATATAATATATTAATTATGAACTAAAAATAATTAAAATTAATACATAAAAAATATTTTATATTATTTTGCTTTTTGTTTATGTGCTTTATTTAATTATAATTTTTTTCTAATTTTTATTATTTACTGTATTTAGTTTTTATTTTATTATTTATTAATTCTAATGAGTAAATATTATTATATTATTTAATATATTTATTTATTTAATATATATTTAAAATTAATTTACTTCATTTACTTATTAGTAAATATTTATTTAATATATTAATATAATTATATAAATTTAATAATGTATATTAGTATAAAAACATTAACGATAATAAACATTTGATTAAACAATGTAATTAAATAACATTTGGATAATATATATATATATGTATGTATATATATATATATATACATTTGGATATATATATATATATATATATATATATATATATATGTATGTATTAGATAAAAAGTTGTTGGTACATATTTAATTGAAGTTAAATAAATAAGATAATAGGTGTTAGCTCAATTGGTTCATGTGCTCTTTTAGTCCCCCGTTGGACCGGGGTTCGATTCCCTCTCCTTGCAATTTTTTTTGCAATTAGGCCACATAATTGCCACCTAAATATACAACTCAAAAAAAAAAAAAAAAAAAAAAAAAATCATACGAATTTCCATGTAGCCCAGTCGGTCATGGTGACCTGATATAGGCGGCTAGAGATGTTAAACGGTCCTTGGCCCGACGGGCCAGCCCGTTTAGCCCAGAAAAAAATAAGGTTAGGGCTTTTTATTGGTAACCCGTTTAAATCAGGGTTTTTTAGGCCCGGACCGTTTAAACCGAAGCCCGTTAGGGCTAGCCCGAAACTCGCTAGGGCTTACCCGTTTAACTTGAGTTGGGCGTTGTAAATATTTGCAGCGAGTAAGTAATATACTCTTATATTCATTGTATATTACAATTTTGCTATTCTACTTCACATACTTATGCGTTGTAACGGATTATATTGATTTTGAAAGATAATTATTAACAATATTCTTATTTTACTCCACATCAAAATATTTAACTCAATCAGAACGACTAATAGGAAACAAATGAGACAAAAACCTAACACATGAAACATAGTGATAGAATTTATAGTGATATAATATCGTAAAAATTTCCAAAGCGTACAATATAAGTAGTGAAATGGTAATTGTAAGTAATAATTCGAATATTTTTTTCTTTTGGGAAAAAAAATGTTATTTAAGAGTTTGTAGTATGTGTTCATATATGATGTGTAGTTGTATATATAAGCAGCAAATACTAAATACCGTTGAAAACAATCGTTAATTAGTCGTTGTAATTTTTTATATTTTTTTTTCTTTTTATTTTTGAAATTTTTTGATACATTATTATTATTATTATTATTATTATTATTATTATTATTATTATTATTATTATTATTATTATTATTATTATTATTATTAAAGCCCGCTTTGCCCGTTTAGCCCGAAGCCTGCTAGGGTTAGGGTTAGGTCCTTTTAGTGGTAGCCCGTTTAAATCCGGGCTTTTTAGGACTGGACCGTTTAGCCCGAAACTCGCTAGGGCTAGTCCGTTTAACATCTATATAGGCGGCCAGAGGACCAAAAAATAATTTTTTTTTTTCATTTACAGGACTATTTCCAAAAACGTGTCCATTTACGGGACCAAATTGAAAAAGGGCTCCAGTTAAGGGACGAAAAAAAAAAATTGCCGGAGCATGAGACTTGACTTGGTTAACGGGAAACCTACCTTTCTCTGCTTACATAAGGCGGTATTCCGCTACTTCGCTAAATCTGCTAGTCATTCCAGAACCAAAAGGACTCACAAAAAAACAGATCTTCCTAGAATCGAAACGAATAAGAAACCCTTAAGATCTTCCTATTCACTTCAATTTAATTCCTTCTATTGCGATATTTATTGAGAAAAAGATATGATTCAAAACTTTTAAGTGATTCCTATGAACATATTTATTCTATGCTTCTATTCACTTCAATACCTTCAACATATAGAAGTACAATCTACTTAAAAAGTCAATTGCATAATAGTTGTCATGTGGGGGATGTCAAGACCAGAGTATCGACCCAAACGGATATACAACATAGAGGAAGCTAGCAGCGCGTCAGAAAGAAAGTTTTTTTAATAACTACCTGAATCCGAACCCAACTAAGGGCAAGCATTGAACCGTAAAATGGTTTGCCCAACAGCAACACAACTCCGTCGTCTCTCCTCGTTCACTCCTTTCCTATCTAATCCTAACATCTTCGAGACGGATGAGACTGAAGAAGACATAAAATTCAAGCATGGGAAAGGAAAATCGTCCGGGTAGAGGTGGAGAGATGGAATCCCGGTAAAGAAAAGCTTCCTTGATGCGACTAAAACTAGAAAATCTTTTGAACTAAATGGTCGCTCAGAAACTCCGTGGAGAAGCCTTACGCAATGAACAATAAGAACTATATGTTCGCGGCGCTCAGTATTTCCACGATAGCCAAGTAGAGTAGAATTTTCTGGTTCTCGTCCCAACTTTTTTTGTGACTTGGCTTAAGAATGGCATTATTCAGATGGATTAATGACAATGAAAACGTGATTCATGCCCAACAGAAAGAGGAGAGGATGCTATGCTCTAGATGCTATCTTGTATACCACGTACTGCGGCATAACTTTTTGTTATTGTGTCACAATAAGGCCTAAATTTTTAACCTTTTCATTTGAAGGTTTCAATTTTAAGTTACTCTCAATATAAGCCTACTTTTACATTCTACTTTTCAATTTAAGACTCCAAATCACTTTGTATTTTGATATAATTATGTAAACAACAATACTTTTTTTTTAAAAAAATTATTTTTTAAGTACTTATAATGAAAAATATTAAATATTTTTAATAAAATTATCTAACAAGATAATTATTTCATAATTTACATTCATGCAAAAGCTTATTGAAATTTATTTTATAAGGTCAAAATTAATTTTAACTTAAGTTTAATAAAAAAAAAAAGAAAAACATGTTGATTATATCTAATTTTGGACACCAATAATTTTCGTTTATCAATAGAGACACTATTGCTGCGGCTGCTGGCACAGAGTTAGCCGATGCTTATTCCCAGATACCGTTAAGGCCAAAGAGTCGGGTGGAAAAAAA